TCTCTGGGACCACAAGCAGGCGATTATCACACTTATGCATCGGTGTGTCAGGGAGCCCTCCCGCGATGCGCTCGACGGGAAGGGCGTCACAAACACGCCCCGAACACGTGCTGAACATGTCCCCGACACGCACCTTGCTCCTGAAGTCGTGTCCCGGGCCGGGCCCCGACCCGCCGCGGCTCCTGACGCTGCCGGAGGACTGGAGGTGGCCTGCCTCGGCGGAGGAGGTGCTGGCGTCCTCCTCCTTCTCGCCGCGGAGGTTGCCCGCCCGCCCGCCCGCCACGCCCCCTTCAGGCTCGACCCGATCGTGCCCACCACCTTGTCCCGGTTGGCCACGCCCTGCAGCCGCTTCAGCAGGTTGGAGGGCTGGCGGGTGGGGCCCTGGGCAAGGTCGCGGTTGGACGAGGTCACGGGGTCAGGCTCGGGCCGCGCAGGAGGCTCAAAGGTCGCGAAGCAGTCCAGGACGAGCTGCTCCTGCAACCTGGGGAGGGACGGGAGGAGAGGAGAGGAAGGAGGAGGGAAGGAGAAGGAGATAAGGAGAGAAAGAGGGAAGAGGAAGAGAGGGAGGAAGAGGAAGAGAGGGAAGGAGAAGGAGAGGAGGGAAAAGGGAAGGAAGAGAGGAAAGAAGGAGGGTTTGAGGAATGAGAGGAGAAAGGAGAGAGAAGGAGAGAGGGAGGGAAAGGGGAAGAAAAAGGAGGAAGAAGGGAAGAAGGGAAGGAGGGAAAGAAAAAGGAGAAGAGAGCGTGTGCGCTTTAGCATAAAGATCGAACTGAATTGCAGATATTGCAGACATGTAAGGCTCAAATTATTCCATCTAATAATATCATTCTCTGGAACTCCACAAAGGGAATGAACTGCACAAGTTTACATATAATGGTAGAACTTAGTCACCCATTTTCTTTTAATCTTCCTGCAACCGAAGCTCATAGACTATAAGGTCATTTTCTGGACACGAAATCCTATCAATAACAGCGAATCAACTCGGCGCTAATTGATACTGAATCTATATTTACACCTGATGATCTCAATTTGATCTAATTATCCGAAAGTCAATAATATCTTTGCAAGAAAAAAAAATGCAGAGGGATTTCCTAGCCACGAGGTTATACGCCATAAAGTGGATGCATTTGCAGGGAAAGAAATTGCTGAGTCATCTGTATGAGTTGTTTGTTTGTTGAAATGTTGCATTACTCGTGTGTGTTTTTTTTTTCTTTTTTTGAGGAAAGAGAGTAATATATTCGCCACAACTGCTCTTGCAACGGAAAACATCTTTTATGCAAATATTTCGTTGAGAGAGATTGCAATTTCTGCGAGCACTGCAAGACGCCTGTTTTTATCATCTCATGCTAAATTTTATCAGGGATTAAGCCGAAGGATTGGCTGACTTTTTAATACGACCAAAGACCTTTTAATACCTTCTGATATTCGACTAAAGTAGAGTCAAAAACCGTTTTGATGTTCTAATCAGCAAGGAAAGAATGCTTTACCAAGGTCTATTTCAAAAACCTCGTGCGTTTCAAATCGAGTAAAAGAAAGAAAGAAAAACACACAAAAAAAATCACATCGCGGTTTGAGAACTGTCGAAAATGGAAACGAACGAAAGAAATAACATTCCGTAATTGATCTGACTTTACCTGGACAAAGACCCTCTCTCTTTGTTTCGCTCGTGTACCTTTTATTTCGCTCCCGTTCCGGCACGAGTCAAGTTCCCCAACAAACAGCCTGACGCAACGAATGAAAAAAAACAAAAAAAAAAAACAACGAAAAAAAAAAAAACGCGTTCAGAAGTTGGGATAAAGCGGTAAAGTTGGCGGGACTTCCTCGAGACAAACATGTTTGCGACAGGATAATAATTCAGCGGTAATCACCGGACATCATAACTTCATTAAGAGTGAATTCTCGACATAATGCCATGTTGGAAAGGACTTTGTCAACATGGGTGTCCGAAGCTTCGGTACCACGGGGGGGGGGGTTCTCTACGTAAATACCTTTATTTGGAAAGATTTTGTAATCACGATTCTCGACCTGGAGTTTAGAAATCGTACCACGTGGAAGGTCCTTTGTAAACGCAAGTCTTGCCCCTCACCCCCCCCCAACCCTCCTCACCCCCCACCCCACCCCGGGACCTGAACTTTTAATATATCGAGAGTATTAGGGACGAATGCTCAACGTGTAATACCATGTTTGGAAAGCGTTTGGAAACGTGGTTCTCGTCCTGGAGCTCGGAAATTCGTATTATGGATGAGTTCTAAACATAAAACCATGTCGGAAAGTCTTTATAAACACGATTCTCGCCCTCAGGATGTGACCAAAGCATCAAAATCGTATTAGGGACGAATTCTCGAAATCATACCATGCTCGAAGTCTCTTTCCGAACGTCCGAACATGGCATGAATCCCGAACACGAAAAATATCATTCGCTTAATCCATATTATGTTAGCCTGCTTGAAGATTTGAAAAAAGGAGGAAACAACATGACTTTTGTAAATAACCCAAAACCCCTTAAACTAGGAGGAGCCGAAGCCTGGAAACCTCATCCTGCGAATCCTCAATATAATTTGTCTGAAGTCTTTCGGAAACAGCCTCACGGAAAATCATTCGAATGCTATGATGGAGCCTAAACTTCGGATTAATAAGTCTGTAACTTATTCACTAACATTTATAACGTCTGGACTTTATCTAAATTCTGCAAATATATTACTTGTATGACCTCTTACATCCCGCCTCTCCGACCTTCAAATCTCACCCCTACGACCTGTAACTCTCTCCCTCCGGCCTGTAAAAAATCCCTCCACTCCGGCCTGTAAAAACCTCTTCCTACGGCTTGTAAAATCTCCCCTTCCCCCTACCTGTAAAAACCCTCCCCTTCTCTGACCTGTAAAACCTCCCCCCTCCCTCCGCACCGACTTGCAATCCCCCCCCCATCTCTCTCCCTCGACCTGTACCCCCCCTCCCCGGTCTGTAACCCCCCCTCCCCTCCCGATCCTCACCTGACGAGCGTCGGCTGCAGGTCCAGCGCCCTGTTCCCGACGCTGTTCGGCCGCGAAATCGGGGCGCCGAACTCCAGCAGGTCGAGCACGCTCTCCCAGGCGACGTTCATCTGGCAGGCGGCGATGTGCAGCGGGTGTTGCCCAGGGCGTCCGTGATGCCGGGGACGCGCCGTACTTGAGCAGGAGGTACGTGATGGCCGAGTTGCCCCGCGCCGCCGCCAGGAACAGCACGGGCAGGGTGTACAGGTAGTCTCGCGTGTACAGGTCGGCGAAGGTGAGCCTCGCCCCCTCGGCGCTCGTGTAGGTGATGAGCCTGTCCCTCGGCACGTCGGGGTTCAGGACCAGCAGCCGCGCGCCGGCGGGGTGCGACCCCCCGCCCCTGCCGAGTGCGGCGCCCCCGGACGAGCGCTGGCGGGGCCCCTGGCCAGGCCGCCCTGCGAGGCCGCGTGGGCCGGGTTGGCGTCCCACGTGCACGGGTGGATGTCCGAGAAGGTGAAGTAGCGCGGCTCGGAGCGGTCGCGCTCGCCGCGGGGCTCCGCCAGCCGCGTCGTGCTGTTCTCCGTCGAGATGACCGGCCGCGGCACCACCAGCCACGACGCCGACCCGGGCATCGACAGCCGCACTTGCTGCGGCGGGAAGGGCGCGTCAGATGGCGGCTAGGCCTACGTGTCTGTTTGTCTGTCTATCTGTCTATATATAGATCTCCATATCCATATCTGTATCTAGCTATATATAGATCTCCTTATCAATATTTGCATCTAATGTCTAGGCCTACATGGTTGTTCATGTCTATATCTATCTATCTATATATCGATCTTCCTGTCAATGAGCCGTATTCATGCTGACAAATGTAGGCGTGAATGAGAATGAATATCTGTCAATTCAAGAGATGCATTTGACGGTTTCGAATATATCTAGAAATACATCTCTTGTATTGCGAAGATATTCATTCTCATCCATTCCTTTTCTACTCCGTTATCAATGTCTGTATCTATCTATATATCGGTCTCCTTATCCATATCTGTATCTATCGGTCTATCTATCAACATCTGTATCTGTCGATCAGTTGATCAACATCTATATATATTGGTCTGTATCAAATCGATCCATTCATCTATATCTATGGATTTATCGATTCTATCGATTTATATATCCATACCCATCTGTTTATCTATCTATCTATCTACCTATCTATTCATCTATTCTTATCTTATGATCGTGAAGGATGAACATTACAACCACTTTCGAAAATTCAACAAAAAAAACTCACACATTAATTAGCTATAATTCTCAGTAAAAAAGAAAGAAAGAAAGAAAAAAAGTCAATAAAGTCAGCAAAAATAAAAACCTCAAAGCAGCTTCTGTGAAATAGGTGTACATGAGATTCTGAACCAGCATGACGTTAACATGTCATTCATGTCAAAACGCACAAATGCCACACTAATGACTCCTCCAGCTTTGTGGAGTCAGAGCTCATTTACACCTTTTTTCAGCATCTGCCACAGGAAATGCAGCGAAATGCAATGCAATCCTGTTTCTCTTTAACTTACTGACTCAAAGGCGATATGGGCCCGTTTTATCACTGGGATATTTACATTTGCTGCACATTTTAAGGGTATGCAAGGGGAAGAAGAAGAAGAAGAAGAAGGAGAAATAGGAGGAGGAGGAGAAGAAGAAGAAGAAGAAAAAAAGAAGTAGGAGAAGGAGAATAACAACAACAACAACAATAACAATAATAATGAGAATAGGAGAATAATAATAATAATGAGAAATAGGAGAATAATAATAATAATAAGGAGAAATAGGAGAAGAAAAAAAATAAGTAGAAAATGAAGAAGAGAATAATGAGGAGAAGGAGAAGAAAAAAAGAAAAGAAATAGAAGAAGAAGACAAAGAAGAAATAGAAGAGGAAAAATAAGAAAACGTAGACATCCTTGTGAAAGCGAGGGCGGCCGACCTGCTGGCTGTCGAGCGAGAACGACCTCTGGCGCTGGAAGGTGACCTCGCTCGACTTGACCACGGACGAGTGCCTCCTCTTGTAGGCCGGCTTGTCCCTGGTGGCGGCGGCGTTGTCCGTGACGCCCGGCACCCACGACACGCGCCTCGTCGACACGTCCTTCCTCGTCTCCTTCATCTTCTCGTCCTTGTCCTTCTCGCGCTCCCGGAGGACGTCCTTCTTGGAGTCGTCCTTGATGATGCTCTTGCTCTCGAGGGCGCCCGGCGACCGGCTCTCCTTCTTGCTCCTGTCCTGCGCGCCGCCGCCGCCCGCCGCCCCCCCTGCTGCTCCTCCGCCGTTGCCGCCTCCCTCTCTCGGCCCGTCACTCGAAAGCACTAGTCGTGATCTATCCTCACTAGAATTGGCCCCGTTTTTTGCGGATTTCGTAAAATATAACTGTTTCTTATTATTATCTATTTTGCCGTCAGTTCTAACATCTAGATGAAAATCTAATCTACTGTCTTTCTTTCCCGGGGAAGTCACTGGCCCGCCGCCGCCGCCGCCGCCGTCGTCGCGCCCCCGTACCCCGTGGTGCCACTCCCCCCCACTCCGGTCCTGGACGGCTCGCGCTTCGCCGCGCGCGCTTTGCTGCGCTCGTCGTCGCCGCCGCCGCCGCGCAGGCCCTCGCCCTTGCTGATGCCCAGCTGCTGCATCTGCTGGCGGAAGCCCTGCGGCCGCAGGCGCACCTCGGGGTCGGAGTAGGGCACGGGCGGCGGGACGAAGTGCAGCGGCGAGGCGGCCCTGGGCGACGGGGCGCGGGAGCCCCCCCGGTCGCATCCTGCCAGGGGCGACGACGGGCGCGAACAGAAGGACCTGGGGGAGCCAGAGCGGGGCGAGCAGCGCGGCGAGCCTCGGGGGGAGGCCCTCGGGGAGCCTCTGGGCGACGCCCTGGGAGAGGCCCTCGGGGACGCCCTCGGGGACGCCCTTGGCGACGCCCTCGGGGAAGCCCTGGGGGAGCAGCGCGGCGAGGGCGAGCTGATGTAGTGGCCGTGAAGCTCCTGCGTCCACGCTGAGCACGCTGGTGGGGGACACCCGGGGGAGGGGCGGGCGCGGGCCCCGTGCAGGCCCCCGCCGCCCACCGACCCCCCGCCCCCCAGGTTGACCAGGCCCCCCGGTTGGGCTCCACGCCGTAGCGCAGCAGAAGCCTCACCACGTCGGCGGCGCTGTAGTCCACCGCCAGGTGCAGGGCGTTGGTGAAGACGCCCGGGATCGCGTTCTCGTCGCTGCTCGCCTCGCTGCGGTGGTCGTACCTGCGGGGGAGGGGGGGGGGTCAGGAGGGCGGCGCCTGTGCTCGCTCTCACTTACTCATTCGTTCACTCATTCGCTCGTTAACTAATTCGCTCTTTCATTCGTTCACTCATTCGCTCACTCACTCACTTATTCTCTCTCTCTCTCTCTCTCTCTCTCTCTCTCTCTCTCTCTCTCTCTCTCTCTCTCTCTCTCTCTCTCTCTCTCTCTCTCTCTCTCTCTCTCTCTCTCTTACGCCTAAACCCAGTTCACACTCACTCAAATATTATTAGCAAACCAACCAGCATCTCACAAGACAAAATGAATGTCTTGGCAAGCATTAACAACATACAAAAATATGTTTCTTTAATTATGACAAACCAAAGATAATGTAAAAGCAGCTCACACTGGCAATAATTGACCTGATGGAAATTACAGGAAATAGACTGGGATGGAGATTGAAGATCAAAGTCGGTTTGCATAAAAGAGCTTTTTTAGATATTGAGTTGAACTGTATAAACAACAGATGGCAGACGCAATTTGTGGACAAAGCAATGCACAGAAATATAATATATATATGTGTGTGTGTATGTGTGTGTGTGTGTGTGTGTGTGTGTGTGTGTGTGTGTGTGTGTGTGTGTGTTGTGTGTATGGTATATATATATATATATATATTATATATATATATATATATATATATATATATAATATATATATATATATTATATATATATATATATATATATATATATATATATATACATATATATATATATATTATATATATATATATATATATATTATATATAATATATTATATTATATATATAATATATATATATATATATATAAAGTTGCTGCGTATGCGTGCGTGTATGCGTGCGTGTATGCGTGCGTATATGCGTGCGTGTGCGTGTGGTGTGTGTTCGTGTGTGTGTGTGTGTGTGTGTGTGTGTGTGTGTGTGTGTGTGTGTGTGTTGTGTGTGTGTGTGTGTGTGTGTGTGTGTGTGTGTGTGGTTGTGCGTCCATGTGCCTGCGTGTGTGTGCGTGTGTGCCGTGGTGTGTGTGTGTGTGTGTGTGTGTGTGTGGTGTGTGTGTGTGTGTGTGTTGTGTGTGTGTGTGTGTGTGTGTGGTGTGTGTTGTGCGTGCGCCAAAGGCAACAGCCGAGGAGCCTCACCTGTCAATGAGCGTCTGGGACTTTCTGAGGAGGATCTCGACGTCCTGAGACACGCAGCGGCTGCCGGTGTCGCAGGAGGACTTGTCCAGGATGCTGCCGTGGAGGTCGAT